TAGTGATTGGCTACATTGAGAAGTGTATCGACAAAGGATTCGTCACTCTTGGGTACGGGAGAAGTTATCTCACTGGGTAATTCAGTAAATGACAATGACACTAAATCTGGGGCCACAGTGGGGTTGAGTTGATGCTCAATCCAATTTAATATTCTTGTCATTGGTCCAATAATTGAATACAAACAAGTCGATGATATCTGAGGTAGACACTATTTTTGTACCTTAGTCTCAATGAGATAATAATTGATGAAATGATTTGATTGCACGGTAACCATACCGTTGACAGGCTGTGATTTCGTTGAACCTGAATCTATCAGGTGGCCATGATGGCTTGCCAGAGTCCAATCTTGGTCTATGTGTAATGAGACGATTAATTGGTGTTAATCGCGATATTACACACTGCTGATATGATAAGGAGTCTACAGGTCACACACTTAGAAGATAATTTAAGAATCAATTTGTGAGAAGGGTATTTTCATCTTTTAGGATGAAAGGGTATTTTGATAATTTCACAGTGCAATTAAATTTGCTGAGGTTGTTGCATGTATTTAATTTTAATATTAAAATTAAATTAGTGAAATTATATTTAAATATCTCTGTATATATTTAAATGAATTATTATTATTAATTAAATATTAATATATTATTATATATTAATTGATTTTAATTATAATAATAGTTAATTAATTAAAATACCATAAATGGTGTGTTTGGTTGCATGGATAAACTAGGGTTGGAGCCCATAGCTATTCCTAAGTGGAATAAGGTTTTAATTGTTGCACTATATAAGTGTAACTTAAAATTAAAACAAAAAGAGAATTATTCATTCAATTAAAACCCTAGCCACCCTATCTCTCTCTCTCTTAAGAAGAAAATTTTTCTTGTTCTTCTTTCTTGATTCTTGAAGCCCTTGATTGTTCTAGCAAAATAATCAAGGGTTCTACGGATTATCTTCGTGGGTGCGATCCTACTTTGGATCAATTGACGAAAAATCACGTGAACAGTAGATGGTGAACAATAGACGGTGAACAGTGTCAATGAACAGTTGCTCGTAAATAGTGTTGATGAACAGTATCTGGTGAACAGTGTTCATGAGTGTAATCGGAGATATTTGGAGGAGCCTCCAAACGTACGTAAGTATTCTAATCCTCGAGTGGATTTACTTTATATAGATTTTTTGTTTATAAACATGTAAATGGTATAATCTATACTCGGATCTAGGCAAAGAAAAGTAATTGATTTACCGATTGAATTTTTGTTTTCCGCTACGTATGGTAGATCAATTACTAATGGTGGTATCAGAGCCTCGGGTATTAGATTATATTGTTTAATTGATGTTTGATAACATGTATATTTGTTTGATAACATGTTATTGCATGATTTGAAGTGTTTTTTTTAATCTGGAAAAATTATGTATGTTAAATGTCTTAATTAATCAATTGATTAAATAATGTGTTGATTGAATGTGTATTGGTTTGTTGGTGTCCTGGTTGAATGTTTAAGCATTCGATTTGATTTGGATTTGTGTCATTATGTGAAAAATTGCAAAAGACATTATTGTGTCTAATTCACTATTTTGCGACGTTAGCCACGACAAAATAACACTTCGCCGCGGCGACATGTAAAAAGTGAATCTGGCCACGGCAAAATAAACCTTCACCGCAGTGAAATTCCGGAAAAGTAGATCTAGCCGCGGTGAAATAAAACTTCGCCGCGACATAAAACTCTCCAGAATGATTTGTGTTTTTTAGAAGTTCACGGTCGCCGCGGCAAAATAAAAATTCGCCGCAGTGACCATGTGTGCAAGAACTTCGCCAGGGCAAAGAATTTCTTTGCCGCGGCAAGAAACCTACTGTTCCGTTTTTGTTTTCCGTTTTTCGCACAGGGGCTAAATTATAGTTTTTTGAACCTTTAAAGCCAATATTCATTCTGCACGTTTAAGGTGATAACTTGATAATTCAACCCACCCAATTCAAAAATTGATTGTTTTTGAAAGTATGCAATGTTCTTGTTTGATAATTGCATGGTGCTCAGTACATGAGCCTTAGACCTATTGATTATTGTTTATTGGGTTTGTTTGTAATTTTTATAAACAAATAGGACTTGCGTGTCCTGCCTCTCTCTGTTAAATCTCCATGTATTTCTTCTCCTCATCTCACTTCCCTCGTATGTAACGCGAGGTTTCTATTTTATTGATGTAAATTAGAATATGTTTTTTTATTATAAAATTATTTGTAATGATCGTGAAGAAGAAATGAAGGAGCTATGAAGAGGAATAACTTGAAGATCCAAGATTTATTTTTAAACCCTAGGTTGACCCACCGATTCCTAGTGGGCCATGTACTGGCACGTTTAATTTTTTGTTTAGAATGCATGCTAAGGTTGAATGTTCAATAACATGCCAAACAATGTCATTCTAACAAAGATAATAATCTGGTGAGACATTAAATAAAAATCCTCAAATAAGATATATTAAGTCACTTATGCCTTCTATCACCATGGTTTTAATCAAACTACTGTTCGTCGGAACCTTGTTCGCCACCGTGAAGGGTACACTTCTACCAGTGGGAGGTTAAAATTCATTGGAGTTTTCCTTAATGATGATGGGTCAACTTAAAATGACAGTTTTGCTTGTTCGCCACAATGAAGTTTGATAAACACGTCATAGACATAGTAGAGAAGTACACATGTTGAGTATACGTGACGACATGTAGTGTCCACTCTACTGATACTGAGAATCACACTTGAGGACGATGGCTAGGCCGTTGGATTTTGTGATTGGCTTGTTGGCTTACTTGACATTTGAGGTTGGTAGTAGGTGCTATCAACTGGTATGGATTAAGTTTGTTGGCCTACCTAATCAACCCATTTTGGCTTGTTCGCCACAGCGAAGGTTTGAAATGGGCCAGATGGGATCTCGGTCCACTAGAAAAGCCAACGGGCTTTCCTGAGTTAATAGTGAGGGCTATTGGCTTGAGGAAAATAGTGGTAGTGTTTTTTAATAAAAGACCATATTAAGAAATAATAAACATTATATTGACTTTACTTTTCTGAATTGTAGATTCACTTAAAAATGAGCATTATGAACCTGCGACCGATAATCAAGAAAGAAAACAGGTTGGATGGATCCAATTTCTCGTACTGGTATCGTAATCTTTGGATTATACTTAAGTCTGAAAAGAATTTGTATATCCTTGATAAGCCATACATGGCTGAGCTTGATCCTGATGCCACTCAGGAAGTAAAAGATACTTATCAAAAGTTCCTTGATGATGCTGATGGCGTTTAATGCTTGATGTTAGCATCGATGACACTAGTGCTACAAAAGCAGCATAAGAATATGGACACTGCTGCCTTTATTCTACACCTCAAGGAGCTTTACGAAGGGAATGCTCGACATGAGAGGTACAAGGTGTCAAAAGCACTGTTTGGAAATTGCTTGACCGAGGGAGCCCAAGTTGGTCCTCATGTGCTCAAAATGATTGAGCACATGGAGAGGCTTGAGCTTTGGGGTTTGAGTTGCATGTAGAATTACAAGTGGATTTAATTCTGCAATCCTTGCCTGACTCTTATGCACCGTTCATAATGAACTTCAATATGAAAGCTATGGTGAAAACTCTGTCAGAGCTTTTGAACATGCTAAGGACTGTAGAGCAAGACTTGAAGAATTCTAAGCCTGTTTTACTGGTAGTTGCCAATAAAGGAAAGGGTAAGGGCAAGGGAAAGGGCAAGGCCAATCCCAAGCCCAAGCCCAAGCCTAAAGGACAGGATGCTCTCAAGCTTGCGGGTAGCATTGGGAAAGGTGGAAAGGTAGTCTGCTTCTATTGTGGCAAGCTGATTTTTCATAGTGATTTTGTATTGAATTTCAATAGGATATAGGATACTTCTAATATAGTTTGGGCCATAATTGCTACATAAATCTATTAGTTTTACTTTGCAGGCCTAAACGATGATTTTGAGCATAAATGACGGTGTTGAGCATAAATGACGGTGTTGAGTATAAATTACATAACTTGAGATTTTCAACTCGGAATGACCTAAATTTAGAAGCTAAGAAGCAGAGCTACAACTTTCATGTTTGGGTTTATTCCGTATTCTGACTGAAAGATGGTGAAAACTTGGCTTGAAGTTGTGAATAACTCGTTGAAAACTAAAGAAAAACATCTTTGAACATGCGTCAGTATTTTTGCCATAACGTGAGCTGTATACCTCATATTAGATAATTCTTGAACGATTAGAAATATAAGATAGAGGTACAACTTTTGTGTTTTGGTCGTGATCCAGTTCAGCTTAGAAAATGGTTAAAAATTGAGCCAAAAGTTACGTTAGTGCATGAAAGACAAGTAGATTTGTTATCATGTATTTTTAATTTAAGTGTGGCTTTCTACCATAATACCCTCACGACTTTAATACCAACAATAGAGGTCCTTAGCAAAAGGAGAGGAGGCTAGGGTTTTGAAGGAAAAGACATCAAAGAGGAGGAGGAGATCAAAGGAAAGAGGTTAGCACATTCATTTGGGAGAAGTTGGCGCGATACTTTTCTAGAGATCAATTCTTCAAGATTTCAGTTTTTGTTTTCTCTTACTCTATTTTTATGCATCAGTTTGGAATTGTTATGATGATGAGTTCAAAACTGATGTGGATTGTTATCACTGTGATTATGGAGTAGATTGTTATTGTTAAGGGCATCTTCAACCCACGCCATTTTGGCGTAAAAAACACCAAAATGGCATGAAATGCTGCTCCAATGCAGCACCATTTGCTACACCAATTTGGTGCAGATGAATTTGGCGTGGCACTGTTCATCCACACCAAATAGGCGAGGTACTATTCATTCAACCAATTTTTTTTTTGTTATAATAATAAATTAATAATAATGATATAATTCAAAAAATGATGAAAAATTAAAAACAAAACTTTATTCAATGCAAATATTAAACTACAATAACTCAAAATAAAAATTAACACTAATTTAAAAACACTAAATCTAAAAAGCTTGGATGGATAAAAATGTATTACATGATATAATGACTGCGTGTATTATTATGCACAACATGATAATCGAGGATGATCGTAATGTTGATGCATCGATTGAGAATCAGATGGAAGTGCCAACTCCCGAAGTTGAAATTGTCGTAGATGAAAATGTCCGATTTCAAAATTTTCTTGCTTGACATAGACAAATTAAGGATGCAGAGGCTCACCAGGCTCTTCGAAATGCATTAATTGATCATTTGTGGGAAGAACATACTAATTCGGAAAATTAAATTACTATCAATAGAAAGTTTTACTTTTTGGTGGTTATCCCATGTTTTTTTTTTTTTTTTTTTTTTTTTTTTTTTTTTGGTATCATTTTATATTAGATATAATGTTTTTCTATATTAAATGTAATGCTTATTTGATTAAATAAATGCTTAATTTTATTAAATTAGTATAATTTTCAAAGTAATTATTATTTAATAAAAATATCATTTCCAATATTTAATTAATATATACAAAAATAATTAGTGAAATAGATTAATTGTTGATTATTACAATAAAAGAAAAAGAAAGAGAATATTCTAAGAAATATTCTTTTTGGTATAATATTTGGTGCAGTGTGTTGGAGATGCAATAGTGTTTAACACAAAAAATTACACTAATTTGGTGCAATGGGTTGGAGATGGTCTAAGGGGTAGATTCTACCAAACCATGTTGACTTGATTTTCAATTTTATTAAAGCATTCAGGAATTTATTGTTCTACAAGAATCTGTGTGATGTGCTTAATGCTTTTGGATATGATGTTTCTTTAATTATTTAGGGCTCCTATTGAATGATGAACCAAGCGGCGAAGTTTGATTAGAAATCTTTTGATTAGGGTTTCATTGTGTTCAACTGTTTTCTTGATGTGATGATAAACCGAGCGGTGAAATCACTTTAGGTCATTAAAATAGCATAGATCATAGATTGAGTAGGATACTCGGGAGAGTCTTATGAGGTTTATGTGGCCAGTTTAGGTTTTAAGCGGGATCAGAACATAACTGTTAATGAATTTCACTATTAGATCGATAAATTTCTTGAATCTGATTTTTATAGCATGTCTGTCAACATTGGTTTAGGCGGAATTGAAACCATTAACATTTTTATCATATAGTGATAATTTTCTTTGTTATTTAATTGTTTTAATTTCTAGCAATTCTTGTTTTTATTTTAAATTCACATCATCAATTTCATTATCTCAAACAACAATTAACATTAGTCAATTTATTTGTTTGTTTAGCATTTAGTCCTCGTGGGATTCGACACTTTTCACTTTATTACTTGTTGATTAGTGCACTTGCTAGCGTACGAAATAGTCACAACACAAGCCTGGCCACTGGAGGAAGCACTGCAAGGCTTTCCTCGAAAACAAGAAGAAGTCAGATGCTTCGACTTCAGGTATGTTTATGATTGAGATTAACTTCTCTCTTTCAACATCTTGGTCATTGACACAAGATGTGGTACTCACATTTGTACTGATGTGCAGGGACTAAGGTCGAGTAGATTGCTCGCCAAGGGAGAAATGGACCTACGAGTTGGAAATGGAGCACATGTGGCTGCGTTAGCTGTAGGGACTTATTGTTTGTCTTTGCCTTCGAGCTTATTGTTAGAACTCAAAGACTGTTATTTTGTACCTGCGATTTCTAGAAACATTATTTCAGTATCCGCTTTGGATAATATAGGATATTTTTTTGATATTTCTAATTGATTTTTTTCTTTTAGTTTGAATGGTATTCTATTTGGAATTGCAAGGTTATATAACAGATTATATGTTCTTGATTTGAACAATAAGGATATTCTCAACGTTAAAACTAAGAAAGCTAAACATAGTGAACAAAACCATACATACCTCTGGCATTGTAGATTGGGTCATGTTAATCAGACCGACATTGCAAAACTTCAAAGGGATGAAGTTTTGAACCCTTTTGACTTTCAGTCATTTGAGGTATGCGAGTAATGCCTTTTAGGCAAGATGACCGAGTCACCTTTCACAGGACAAAGTGAAAGGGCTACTGAACTGTTAGGTCATCCATAGTGATGTATGTGGTCTACTAACAGTTGAAGCTAGAGGTGGATATTCCTACTTCATCACATTTACTGATGATTTCGGTAGATATGGTTATGTCTACCTCATGAGACATAAATCTGAAGTCTTTGATAAGTTCAAAGAATTCAGGAATAAAGTACAAAATATTTTGGGCAAAAGTATTAAGATTCTTTAGTTAGATCAATGAGGTGAATACTTGAGCTCAGGGTTTTCTGAATACCTGAAGGGATGTGGGATAGTATCACAACTCACCCCGCCGTATACACCCCAACACAATGGAGTGTCTGGAAGGAGGAATAGAACCTTACTTGATATGGTTAGGTCCATAATGAGTTTTAGTGATTTACCTGCATCATTCTGGGGTTATGCCCTAGAGACTGTAACTCACATTTTGAACCGTGTGCCGTTAAAGTCTGTAGACAAGACTCCATTTGAACTATGGAATGGGCGAAAGCCCAATTTGTCTTATCTAAAGATTTGGGGTTGCGAAGCTTATGTCAAGAAATTGACTTTGAATAAGCTAGGCCCAAAATCCTACAAATGTACGTTTATGGGGTATCCTAAAGAGACCAAAGGATACTATTTCTACCATCCAGACTTCTTAGAAAAATAATTTTTCTTAAGAAGTACTAGTGGGAGAAAAGTAGAACTCAATGAAGTCTAGAACTACAAGGTACATTAGACGTAGGACGGAAAGATGTGCCACAGGAAGTGGTTGAACATCGTGAGGAGGTCACTCCACAGTTTGTGGATCAAAGTGAACCACCTCAAGTAGCACAGGAGCTACGTAGGTCTAGGAGACTATGCCATGAGCCAGAAGATATGGTTATCTCGTACTTAACATGGTGACGTACTAGTCTACCAAAACGATGAACCCAGAACCTACGAAGACGCTATATCAGACCCAGATTCTAGTTAAATGGCTTGAAGCTATGAAATCTGAGATGAACTCCATGTACCAGAACCAAGTATGGTCTCTGGTGGAAACACTTGAAGAGGTAAAACCCATAGGGTACAAATGGGTTTTCAAGAAAAAGACTGACATGGATGGCAAGGTGCACATTTATAAGGCACGATTGGTTGCCAAAGCTTTCAAACAAATTCATGGTATTGACTATGAAGAAACCTTTTCACCGGTTGCCATGATTAAATCCATCCGGATTATGCTTGCGATTGCTACATATCATAATTTTGAGATTTGACAAATGGATGTCAAAATGGCTTTCCTGAACGGAAACCTTGAAGAGGATGTGTTTATGACACAACTCGATAGTTTCGTTCTTGATAGGCAAGCTGAGAAGGTATGCAAGTTGCAGAGATCCATTTATGGACTCAAGCAAGCTTCAAGGAGCTGGAACATTCGTTTTGATGAAGCTGTAAAAGAATTCGGTTTTATCAAGAATGAAGACGAGCCCTATGTTTACAAGAAAGTGAGTGGAAGCGTAATGACATTCTTAGTGTTGTATGTCAATGACATACTTCTGATTGAGAATGATATACCGAACTTGCAGTTGGTAAAGACTTGTTTATCCAAGTACTTCTCTATGAAAGACTTAGGAGAAGCAGCCTACATCCTCGGAATAAAGATCTACCGAGATAGATCACGTAGGTTGCTTGGCCTAAGTCAGAGTACATACATTGTCAAGACACTGAAGAGATTCAGTATGGAAGAATCCAAGAAAGAATTTCTTCCGATGTCACATGATGTTTATCTCTTTAAGGATATGTGTTTTTAAACACACGATGAGAGAGATAGAATGAAAAGGATCCCATATGCGTCAGTAATTGGATTCATCATGTATGCCATGTTATGTACTCGGATTGATGTCTCATGTGCTAAGTACTTGTAGTAGATATCAATCGGATCCAGGTAAGCGTCACTGGATATTGTCAAGAACATCCTTAAGTACCTAAAGAGGACTAAAGACATGTTCTTGGTTTATAGAGGGGAAGATGAGCTCACTGTAAGAGGATACATTGATGCTAGTTTCCAAATGGATAAAGATGATTATCGATCGCAATTAGGGTTTGTATTTTGTCTCAATGGGGGTGCAGTAAGCTGGAAAAGCTCCAAGCAAAGCACTGCAGCGGACTTTTTAATAGAGGCTGAGTATATTACATTATCTGATACGGCCAAGGAGGCAGTCTGGATTAAGAAGTTCGTCACAAAACTTGGTGTGGTTTCCATAATTGTTGATCCGATAGATGTCTATTGTGACAACAATGGAGCAATTGCTCAAGCAAAGGAACCACGGTCTCACCAGAAGTCTAGACACATACTCAGACGTTTTCATCTCATTAGAGAAATGGTTGAGAGAAAATATGTATAGATCAGTAAAGTGCATACTGATGACAATCTCGTCGATCCATTGACGAAGCCTCTGTCACAGCAGAAGCATGAAAAACATTTAAGGTCATTAGTATTAAATACATGAATGATAGACTATAGTGCAAGTGGGAGATCATTAGAGTAGGTGCCCTAGAACCAATCAATTATTATAAAATTGACTCTGTAATAAATGTTTATTTATCAATAAAAGGCATCTTCTGCTATATCGTGTATGTAATGATATATGTCTTTAGGATGGTAGAACCGTGATGAAGGTATCAAGTGTTTCAAATCTTGATAGTGAGAACCCTATGATCACATATGGTGGCCATTTTAAAAACGTCCATAGCCCCAGTATTATTCTGACCAAGGACACAGATAATACGATAAGACTATCATACTGTTAAACGATCCTGTCGAAAGGCAGTGACTGATCTCACTTGTCAAGGTTGTTTGCCGACAACCTAGTGCAATGCATGAGTGCTTGCTAGAGGCAAGTTTACTGGACAGACCCATCAGAGGATTCCATATGGATGTTAACCCCAGTGTCTATGGAATAAATCCTCTAACGGATGGTGGTGTATGTGATCCTTAGACTTGAGATCACAAGAGCACCTTGTGCCGCAATTGGTTTCGTTTGACACTAGCCCGATGTAGTTCTATTCAAAACTATCAATACGGTAGTGATTGGCTACATTGAGAAGTGTATCGAGACTATGGTGGATCGACAAAGGATTCATCACTCCTGGGTACAGGAGAAGTTATCTCACTAGGTAATTCAGTAAATGACAATGACACTAAATATGTGACCACAGTGGGATTGAGTTAATGCTTAATCCAATTTAATATTCCTGTCATTGGTCTAGTAACT